CGATTTACTGGTAGTCTCGAAACAATACATAAATGCTAAAAATACGTTAACCATGACCGATTTATTACTAGTATTCGAGTCTGATTGGGCATTTTGATACCAAAATCGGCTTAGTTATTAAGTTTGCTCAGTCTTTTCTTCCGAGACATGAACGTCGCAACTAGGACCTGTTAATGCTATGCGAAGAAAAGTTGGGTTTCGAGGAATCTCTTGTTTCATAATTGTTAATGCTGTTGAGCTTACTTCCATTTCGAGTTAAAGTGTTTGGTGAAGAGATTCAAAGGCCGATCCGATGACGGTGGATTCCTCTTCGCCATCTGTCGATTGGCTTTACCATGACACTCTTTTTAACGTTGTTTTCGAGGCGATCTCCTTTGATTTCGATAAAAAATGTGAAAGCTTTGTCTGTTATATGTCTGACATCATCAGAACAAGGCATCATCCTTTCAACCATATTCAAGCTATCAAGTCAAAAAAACTCTTGGTTCTCTACTCAACTCAACAAGAGAAGGAAGCCGGAATTGCCTCCAGTCTGGTTGGGGCTAGCATACATAGCATGAGTTGGCTATTACATGCAAACAATGCACAATAACACATAACTTTACATGCTTTAACATTTTAGAATCATACGCAATCAGCTGCGACCAAATTTATCCCCATTCTCAGAATCATCTTTACTCATGCAAGCATTTAGAGTAAGCATGAAGTAACCAACCAAAGCATGGGACGCCACAGTAAGATTGCAAAATCATGTATTATAAACATGTAGGCTGACAGTCCGATACCATCTTTCTTGGCTTACTATATTGTTGAGGTTTTTCGTAAATGCTGCTTTCTCGCTAGGAGGATGGATGCCCATCATATAACAGACGAAAGTTCAGAACGGATTCGTTTTTGTCGCCAGACCGTGACTCAAGAACACCCTTCAACAGTCCAAGAGTCTCACCCCAATCGACCTTCCTTCAGTTTCAGATAAGGCTAAGTCATGGATACCATCTAACCAATTTTTTCTTGGAAATTACACTTCCATACACACGACAACAGGTATCAGAATAAAGGGCGATATATAATGATTTGGTTGGTTTATATGCATGTATGTATGTATATTTATTTGTTTATTTATGTGTGTGTGTGTGTGTGTACTTAGGCCATTCAGGTTTCGAAATAAAACTAATTGGAACAAAGCTTAACGCCAGTTCAGGGTTCTAAAATATAAATGACCTGGAGGATGTTTTCGTATTAATGGAATCCAGTTCATCAGTTGTCAAGTGGGAGGACAGACAAGAGCTCAGTTCGCTTTCACCGACACAGAAAGAGATGATCTTGTGGACGGAAGTATCAAACGACAGCATGGCCAGTGAAATACATTGTTTACGAATTCTCTAATCGGCAAATCTTACAGGAAATCAAGTTGAGACATGAGGACAACACTATGTCGTCTCATTTTCCTTTTTACAAATAGGCCTTTGAGACTACCAGTAGATCTGCTATAAGAGATGAATTCAGCCTATTTTGTTTAAGGTTGTTAAATTTTCCCGCAATTATATGAGTAGGCCTCAAGTTTCCATTAAATCACATGTAGCTTTGCTCACCAACACTTTTTCTCATCCAGGCTGAACTGGACTACAGTTTTAACCCTGCTTAGGTCTCATCCACACCCCTAGCGGGACTCGAACCCTGGTTGTTGTGGTGCTTATAGTCAAGACACATTAACCACTACTACAACTGACTATATTTTTTATTTTCCGTTTTAAAGACCACCAGTAGATCTTAGATAAGAGCTGCCGTCGTTCCACCCAGTCCGAGGGGGACTCGTGGCCAGGACTCGTAAAAGAAAAGTTTGATCGCAGCTACGGCGCGTTTGCCTTTCGCGCTGTTGCCTGAAGTCACCTCCGTCCAAATATTCGCGCAAGGATTCTGCCCTGTCTGCATTGGCATCAATTAGGCTCCGCTTTTAACGGTCCCGTGGGCTTTGGGGAACATGATAAATGAGGCGCATCGGGGCGTGATCACACATTTTGGCCGGTTGCTTCTTGTTTCCTGTGCGGACACAACTGCGAGCTGACCGTGGTCCGATGAGAGGTGTAAGACCTGATTGCGTCTTATCTCTGTCCTGGCTGGACGCAACGCTAGTGCGATAGTGGCTGTACCGACGGATGAGACTGTGCATGTCTACCTTTGTCGCCCTGTCTGTCGGCCGAGTTAAGCATGTACAGGCTCAAGCATGTGCGACCCGGTGTGCACTCAGAATCAAGGCAGGCAATCTGGCTTCTGGCTATAAATCATAAGAGTGGACAAATTGAAAGTAGGCACAAGGGAGGGCTGAAAACAGCGGCTGTAGAAACCGATATTGTAGGTCTGAGGTGAAGAGCTGTAGAACGAAACAGAGGAGGGGGGAGGAGTGGCACAACTCTGGCACAACATGTGATCGATAAGAGGTGGCGAGTCTGGGCAACGGAGTGGGGAGGAACAAAGTGA